CCCCCCCCTCCCCCCGCCGGGATTTCTATGGTTAGGCTCACTGTGTAAACTAATCCATCAAGAAAAGGAATTTTAAAGTGCCGGCTTTTTGTTTCTGTGTGGATGGAAAACATTTTGAAAACAGAGCTTTTTGAAAATGATCACCTCCCAGTAATCACGTGATTTCCCTGCCCGAGTCAGTTGTCAAACACAAATCCAAAATGACTGGTGATTGCTATGTTTTTAAATTCCTTCAACGTAGTGTGGATGGAAAACATCTGATGCATTTACAGAGAGAAACCTTCATTTTCAAATTCCTCCGTCGCAGTGTGGATGGGGCTTCAACCATTCTCAACTGCCCTTGTCATTCTTTGTTGTTGTAAACTATTATTTTCATGTTAACTTCACTTTCAGTTTGGCAGCTTAGTTTTGTATAGCTCCTTCTACTTTTCAGCATTTATTCTATGCCATAAATGACCTTGGCAATGCAATTTGGGTGCTAACCATAGTGAACCAAAGCCACTGGTGAACCAACAAACAGAACAGTGAATCTGCTTTCACACTCATTTAAAAAGTATTTAATACCTTTTACAGTACCACTCTGTTTGACATCTTGAGCATCGCTTAGTTGCTGGTTGGCCACACATGGCACATTTTGGAGGTTCATTTACAAGTTCCTCAAGCATATCCAAATTATATGTGTCTGCCCACCTAAAAGACACAGGTATAAAAGTTCCAGGGTACACACAAAAATTTTCTTTTAGTCTTGTCAACACCTGAAAACATCACCTTTTTTAAAGAATAGTCTAGTAGTCCTTGCATTCAAATATGGATGAGTTTTTACATCTGAATGAAACATCTCAGAAGTTTTCGTTTTTGACTTACATGCCAGAAACATTATGTTACCAAAGAAGTTTTGAAACATCATCAAAATGACTTTGGAACTGTCAACAATTTTGATACTCACATTTTAGCTTGTTTTTTAATGTCCTCTGCTGTAGGCGAAAAGAAAGCTTTCTTCTGATATTTAGCAATCTTATCCCATTTGCCCTGGTTTTCTTTCACAAGTTTCTCTCTAATTTCTGGAACCTACATGATATTTTAAGGAGTAGAAATATTGTGTGAACATTAAACAATAGCTCTATTTGCCTAGCATATTTTATAGGATGAAGCAGCATTGCAAAAGCTTAGACAAGAAAAATAATAACTTGTAAAGTTTATCAAAGAAAGCAACCCAAGGCGGAGAAAGGGGCTCAAGATACAGACCATTGAAAGTGGTCCCCTGTAGGGGTGTCCAGGGGCATCTTCCCCCGGAATATTTTTAAAACTGAGGTCTTTGGAAATTGGATTTCCTGCATTCTGAGGCCAAGTCAGGGTGTTATAATGTCTCATTTTTTATAAATTTAGGGTTTCGGCCGAACTCCCCCTCCCCTCCCCAACCCAGCTAGGTCCACCCTAACTTGTGTTATCTAAATCAAGTATCACATTGCACGGGAGGTTGTCTTTCATTTTAGATTGCTAGAAAAGCAGCGTATACCTTGCTTTTTTTTCCTTTTTACGTTGCAGGATTCTCCTGGTGCCATTCAAAAAATTGCCAATTTTATTGGAAAAGAACTTCCTCCAGAAATAGTGGAACGCATTGTAAACCAAACATCTTTCAACGCCATGNGGGGGAAGGTTGGAGAATCATTGACAAGTTCCCTTGAGTACCACAAACCCCGGTGGGGTTCTCACTTTTGGTTGAATCATATTTAATGTCAGTTTAAATTGCTGGTCATCAGTTATTTTAAAGATATTAAATTTAAAGCTTACTTGCATGTTAAGTTTTTCGATAAACTCATGTTGACTCATCCATCTGTGAAAATGGGGAAGAGAACCATTTATTTCTTAAAATTTCGGTAAAAGTCGAAAAAATAGAAAATTTTAATGGCTAAAGAAAAGAAAGCTTAAGTTAAAACACCTGCAAAATATAAGCTCAACTTCAGGCGTGTAAAAAATTAGAAATTATTTTCCATAATTTGAAAGTTGTTACGTAGAAAGTTTTGTTTACAGACCCCTTTACCACAACTACATAAAATAACCGTATCATAAAGCGACAGAAACTTACTTTGGACTGCCTATTTCCTTCAGCGGATACGTTTTTAACTCCTCGATGTACAATTCTGCTTCTGTTGCTAGCAGAACCTGTTTTACTTCTCCGTTCGAGTCGCCCGCCATTTTGTTTGAAAACTGCAGTCAAGGAGATACCGCTGAACATCGGAACGCGGGCACCAAACATGGTCCAACATGGCGGACCAAACAAAGACAAGGAGAGAAGAACACGACGGCGTTTGTGCAAAGGTTGGGATAACCCAGGTTCTTTTTGAGTGTAGAAAACATTGTTTATTTTTCCTTGCTTCCTAAAAACTGAAATTCACGGTTTTCCACTTCACTTGTGTGGGTTTATATTCTCTCTCCGAGTGGCATTAATTGTCAGGTGACGTCAGCTGAGTTGAGGTGTCACATGCAATTGGCGAAGAAACCTTTGAAAGTTATAGATCATGTTGTTTTATTTTTTTTTTTGAAGAGCATCTGGAATTTTATTACAAGTCTTCAGTTATAACTCTCCCTTTTTATGTCTTATTCTGGACACTTCTCCAGCTCAATCTTTAATTTGCATAACTTGACATTATATTTTTCCACATTGCCTGCTTGTAGTCAGCTGATTCCAACTACGTCTGTTTCAAGGACAGGCGTGATGCAACAGGCTTTTCTTATTAGATGTCTCGCTGCTGTTTTTTTGTCGTTTTATTCTCATAAATACACAGTTCCTGAACACAATCTGACCTGAAAATTTCCCTTGTAAGAGAAGCTCTGTGTAACATATCAACTTCTCCCCAGGCAGGGTTGAGGGGGTGAGGGGGGCGGGGAGAATAACCTTAAGCTAACCAAAGGAGCACTAACTTAAATCGATTACTAAACATGCTGAAAACTGAGTTTAAAAATTTAAGCTGAATGGAGACTGCCTATTTCATATCCAGAGAATTCTTTCCTTGTCCCATTAGTTTTTTTTGTGTGGTGAAATATATAATGTAGATAAACTCAATTTGAAAAACTATTATTCCTAAGGTGTACCTTGTCCTGGGCTCTAGTTTCTTGCCATTTTTGACCAGGTCACTCAATATTTACAAATCAGTTTTTTTTTTTTTGACAGAATACTCATGTGAGAAAAAATTTGATATCAAATCTTCTTCTAAAATATTAGGTGCTTTGTGAATTAGCTCTGGTGGTCAAATACCTTTTGAACTCCCTGAATTTTTTGGCATATATTTTTGAGAGGCGATTAAGAGGTCTCAGGAAATAGTTATAAACGTCAGTGAAAAAGAGGCGATGGGACAGACCAAAATGCCTAGAGCTAGCATTTTTCTGCTCTTATTATTTGGACATCAGACTGATGATCTAAATATGAATTTTTTTTTCTCTACTCAGGCCCAGGAACTTCTTGCACGGTACTCCAGTACTGTGTTTGCATTCGACACCTCTGGAGACACAAGATATATTAGATGTGACTTTCCGCAGTGCAAGCAACATGCTGAGGCCTTGCAAGGTATTGTCTTACGTTTGACCTGTCTTCATATTGTACACAGGAGCTCATGAGTGCTCAATACATCCAAACAGGTTTGGGGAGATGAAAGGGAGATGCTAGGGATGCTGCATTATAAATATAAATTAAAATTTCTTTAAAAACACAGTGACACTTTTAGATTTTCGGAACATTTCTCGATGTTTCAAGCACCATCATCAGCCATTATAAACATTAAAGATAGATTTACAAAATGATTGGACAGATGGTACATATAACTTTTCCGAAAAAAATGAAGTTTCATTATATAGGAGTAACATATACTGATCATTTTGTAAATCTTATTTAATAGTATGTAAAATAACTTTCCATTGATTTTTTTCAGGGAAACGTTGCTGGCTTCTTAATACCGTGAAGAATGTAAAAGTTCTTGAGAGACATGTTGGTAAAGAAGTCCATGATTATATGAAAGAAAAAGATTCTGGAACGGACGATCAAGTGGTCAGCCCTCATTATGTTGAAAGTCAAGGTCTTCTTGAAAAGCAACAGCTGCCAGAAGGAACTAGAAAGGTATCACATTTATTTTTTTACAGTGTATCCATTCAATAATTAGCCTTTACCTACATTGGTGGGAGGCACAGTGGCCTCATGGTTAGTAGGTTCGACTCCAGATCAAGCTGTCCTGGTTAGAGTCCTGGCCAGGGACATTGTATTGTGTTCTTGNAGGATTGTTGCAGGATCCAATGAGAACCTTGATGATCTTTGAAGATAACAAAAGAATTAAATAAACAACACATGCTCACAAATAACCCATGCTTTTACTGGCCAAGAATCATTAGCTCAAACTTAATCTGAAATTAAAACATTCTTGACAATCATAAATTCTATTTTTTTTCTGAAATATGCAGGGACGCAACAAAGTGACTGCATAGTCATCACTCAAAACTTTGTAAGTCGTCGGGAACTGATGGAATGCATTGCAAAGTTGAAGTTTCTAAACAGTCACAGGCCGACAGGTATATATTTTGATAAGTTCTTAGCATGTTATCTTAGCAGTTCAAATGCCAGTAAGAAACTCAGTTCCTCATGCTATCTGAAACAGAAAATAAAATGTAATGGGGATGATGAATTGACGATGACATTGCAGGGTTTGTACAGGTCATTGAAACCCTGGAAAGTCATGGAATTCACGAATTTCATTTTCCAGGCCTGGAAAGTCATGGAATTTAATTGTTGGACATGGAAAGTCAAATAACAGTTTACATTCATTACTGCACATGTCAAAACAAGACAATTAGCCTCCCATGCAGACGCTTTTAGGGTAATTTGAACAACATGCATTTTGGTGAACCTCAGAGATTACAAAAAAATTGCAAATTTGACCCTAAAACAAGGATAGTTTTAAAAATTTTCGAAAGTGGCAGCTAAACTTCAGGTCATGGAAAAATGGAAAAGGTCATGGAAAGTCATGGAATTTGAAGAGCTCAAAAGAGTACGAACCTTGTATAAGATGTTGTATCTGCTGCAATAATCATTCAATAATAATTGGTAATTAATGTCTGTTCATTTACGACAGTTGAAGTCGTCATCGTGTTGAGCTGTCACTCAAGCTGTCAGGGTCAAGTTTTCTCATGCACTCCATTTGCCATTGGGAAGCAGTCTGGATTTGAAGAGTTTTGTTCACTACATGACTTTGTGATGGCCTGTCAGAGTGTGCTGAAGGACGTGCTAATGGCTACCCACATCTCGTCATGTTTCACTTTGAAACTAGACTGTTCTCATGCAGTAAGTTTTTCTTGTTATTACAGGTAATGTATGAATACAAATGTAATCAAGAATTCAAGTGATAAATTTTGAAAATCCTCTCAAATTTGCACAAGCCTTTAGGTGAGTGCAAATTGAAAAGTAATGATAAACTGGCCTAGTCTCAGCCATTCACAATGAAGAAATTTTCTGAGTTTTATAATAATGCTCCAAAGGGAGAAATATAAAGAATGTTACATATAGAAATAGCATCAACTCGAAAAAAAATCTGAGTTCCAGATGAGATCTGAACCTATGAACGTTTCTGAGTTGATGCTATTTCTACATTTAACATAAAATAATGTGTAGAATAATTATTATAAAGTAGAAAAAATTGACTACAAGATGTCTGGAACACATTTTTGTTTTTGTAGCCTACATCTTTGTCGTGACTTTGTGTGTAATGATCATGTAGAAGCAAAGAAAAATGTGTCCAAAACAAAGCTTTTCTTTTGATCAGGACTGGCCAGTTGACGCTGACTGGTTGAAGACAAGACTGCACTCTGTTCTATGTGGCAGTACAAAAGAAGTTTATGAGACTGGTTCCCAGGTTGCTGATCTGCATTTGATGCTCTCGACCATGATCCCCAGCATAACTACTGGCACATGTGGTACAAGATTGAGGGATGCAGTGAACAGAGCATGCTCTGAAGGGTTCCCAGACCTGGCTAGGGAGATGGGTTTGGGATTCCTGGGCAGTGATAATGTGGATGAAAGGCTTTCAACAGAAGGCAAAGAGGATGAGGTACATAACAAACAGTGTAAATGGGTATTAAGGCAAATTTGAATTAAGATCACAGCACTCAAAAGAGATTTGTTAATTGTGTATAATTCGGCAATAAAAATGAAAGATCAAATTAAGACTTTTACAGTGATGACACTCAAAATGTAACCACTTGACATTTTTTTTTAAAAATTTTTTGGTGACCATAGAATGAGAGCTCTTCATATTAACAAGAGTATTAAGCGTTGTTACTCTGTAAAATCGCTGATCTTGTACATTATATGAAGAGCCTTCGTTCTGAAACAAAACAAAATGTGCAAAAAATGTCGAGTGTTCACAGTTCAATTGTCCTTATCGTGGAGCGTTTCACCGTAGTAGTCTCTGTGCAGTGACACAGCCAGGTTATTTACGTGCTGACTTCTGGGTTTTATTTTACTTTGTTCAGGTCACTCCACCTGGCTTGGTTATGTCGTCAATGCGGGTTGTTTTTCTTGTGGAAGATGAATTTCCTGGTACGCCATCTCAAGAGCCTGACAATTCCAAGCATTCTGGTTCGTACGTTGCCCTCGCTGACGCTTTAGTGGCGAATCTTCAAATGCGCAAGGCCTCAGATGTGAAATTTGAGTTCATGATTCTACGGATAAAGCATGGTGAAACCAGTCTGGTCCAAGAGTCCATGAGGAACCATCTAGACCTATTGCTTTGCGATACGTACAAAGTTCTGTTCATAGCACTAGGACCGATGTTTTCCAGACCTAACTTGGAGCTTATCAAGCTCATAAAGGAATGGAACGATCAAAGAACTGGTGATATCTGTTATGGAATACACTTCCAGCATGTGACAGCGATGCAGGCCTATGCCATTAAGAACAGGCTCAAAGAGATACAGGGTTCTGAAGTTCCCGGAAGTAATGTGGAAAAGATAACTCGAAGCAGTCATCTTGCAGTGACTGGACTGACTGAAAATGACAACAGGAACTGTGGTGCCTCATTTCCTGTGTTGCTTTACATGATCCATCTCGCTGTTGGTGAGAACGGCAACAGATTAGCTGGAAAAGGAATTCCTTCAGGTAAATGACCAACCATCTCGCATTTGGATTTCTTGTAATGGAGGTTCAATACGCCATCCATTTTACATGATTTGATATTTTACAGATGTGTCCGATCCTCTTATTTAAAATGTCTTGGAATGTTTTTCGTTAAATTGGTTGTGAATGATCTCCTTTTTAAAGGAGCTCAGTCACGGTTTGAGCATCTTGAAAAGTTTAGCCTTTCTTAAGTTTGTCGTTTGTAATCCGTTTTAATCTTCGCCATCCTTAACCATCCTTGTTCCTTTATGGTTTATTATTATCTCTTTAGAGTTTTTCTATCTTAGTAAATGATTATTTAAAAGTGTCTTTCAGTTTAAAGGAATTTCTATATGCGGCCAAAATAACTTAAAATATCATGACTGAGGTTCTTGAAGTGAGTGTATTGCATGTATCTATTGATTAGTATCCTTGTACTCGTGTTATCGTGCAACAAATGCAGACTTAAATCAAGCGGAACATTCACTCTTTCCTTCTAAGTTAATCGTGTTTTCTTTTCAGCTGTGTACAGCAAAAAACCAGTCGGTCACGGCATGTCCTCGTGGACATTGGAAGAAGTGTACATGGAGACTTGCCACGTGCTGTCGGGTTTGAGTAGAAAGTGTGGACTTCATTTGCTGTCTTCGGCATCAAACCCTGTACAGACCACTTCAACAACCAGCACATATCCAAGAGGAGTTCTTGCAAGTTCAGATGAACCAAGTGCATTAGAATCAGCTCGGAAGGAAGGAAGCGACGCTCTCCTGTCCGCTTGTGGCCCGCCTCAGGAGCCAGCAGATCCATCCTATCACTTAACATTTCCAATAAAGGAATGCGAAGTTATGAGTGGTGGAAATTCACTTGAATTATTCCGAAGGGATGATGAAAACATTGACGCATTTAATTACAAACTCGTTACAGAAACTGAGGAGCCTTGCAGTGTCATGTGCCGAGACAAGCAATCTTCAAGCAGCACTGCAGATATCACGAATACAAGCTTTTCAGAGGGAGATAGAAACAATCAAGTGTCTGGTTCTGATTGTAGACGCTTAACAGACAATGAGGTGTCAGGTGGTGCAATATGTCAGGAGATGTCACTTTCAACTATCAATACAGTTATGGCTGTTACAAGCTCTTCTGTAGAGACTGGGAACAACGATGCATCAATGTTGGATGTCACATCTGTTAGCCCATCGTCAGCTATCAGTCCATTTGGGAAAGTTTCAATCACACCTCGGGAGGAAGGAAGTAGAATGAAAGTGACTGATAATGAAGATGAGGTTGATGAAGGGCTAGATCGTGTAATGAGTTATGAGAAGTCATCTATAATCTTCGGTCCGCCATCAGCTACCAGCCCACTGCAGAATCATGTTAGTTTGCAGGAGCGTGAAGAAAGCACTACAAAACTAGTTGAAGATGGAAATGTCAGGCCGCCTGATCATCAGATAACCTTCCAAGAGAAGCTATCTTCAACCATCAACCCATATTCATCTGCCAGTTCAGTGAGGAAAGACGCAGGCTTGTTGGAGCTAGATGAATGCACTGAAAACCTGGTCAGTGATGAAAATGGGATTAGCGTCCTGGCTGGTCATATGCTCTTCCAAGAGAAGTCATCTTCAACCATCAACCCATGTTCAACTGACAGCTCAGTGAGAAGTGAGGCAGGCTTGCTGGAAATAGAAGAATGCACTACAAACCTTGTCCATGACGAACATGGGATCAGTGTCCTCGGTAGTCATGTATCCTTCCAAGAGAATCCTTCTTCAATGATGGACCCAATTCAGGAAGAGGCAAACCTGCTACCAAATGAAGCCGACGGACTAGCGGATGAGGTAGACAGGCTTAGTGAGGAGCCAAATTGCCTAACTTCTCAGGAAAAGCCTTCTTCTGTCATTAGTCCAGTTGGGGATATTGTAATTCCGCCAGAAGTGCAAAGAAGGGCAATAAGTCTTGTTGATGATGAAGATCGACTGGGTGAGCAGGAAAATGATGTCTTGTGTGACGAGAAGCCATGTTCATCTATCTCAACAGGTGCAGTCTTGTCAGCGGAACAAGGAAGTTCAACAAACCTGGTCACTGAAGCGGATGGGTTTGAGAAGTCTGGTCATGAAATGTATCACGAGAACCCATCCTTAACTACCAGCGCCATTTTAACAGGTGCAAGCACATCAATGGTGGAAGGAAATGTGATGCAGCTAGCTCATGATGAAGATAAGCCTGTTGAGGATCAACAATTTTCGACTTATGGCACAGTTACAACAGATGCACCCTCACCCCAAAAAAGGATCAAGACGAAGATCAGTAAAAAGACAACAGCGACTAAATCCGATGTTAAAGTGGACTCGCCTCTTCAAACTTGGCTCCAGAACTTCACAACGTTCTGTAAAAAACAAAATGTGGTCGAACAGAAACAGACGGAGACAAACGAAAGTAGCTTTGAAGACTCGAATTCCGAAGGTGCTCCTGGTAACTACAGGGGAAAGAAAGGTCGTAAGAAAAAGGTTCGAAAAGAATCTATGCCGGGAAACTTAGAAAGTTGTAATACATCAACTGAGATCCAGATTGCCATGGAAACTGATTGTGTTCCATCAGCAACTGTGTACCCAAGCATGTCAGAATTAATTTACGAAGACTCAACCGGTGGTCACATGGGCAGTTCTGACAAAGAAGAAATTGTATTGGCATCTGATTCGTTGAATAGTACAGAATCTGTTCTAAATGGGTGGAATGTGTTTGAAGTTATGGATGGTAAGAAACAGGGAATTGATAATGTAAAAGACGATCAATCTGTGAGTAAAAATGCACTTAGCACTTGGGAAAACAGTGACATGGAGATTGATTCTGAAGACGCTTATGCCGAAAAGAGGTCTTTGTTGATCGATAATTCTGGTGATGTAGAGCAACCTTCAGTGAAGAAGCTTAGGAACGAATCTGATTCTGAATGCAAGGAGAGAATTGAAAGACCTCTTGACATAAACTGGGACAAAAGCGACGACTTGCCATTAATGGCTAATGTTGATGAAGTTCTTGTCCATCATTACATCTTAGACTTGTCCGTCAAATTTAACAAAAAAATTATGAAGGGAAATATAGTGTTATTTCTTGAACCTCGTAACGAGGAAGTGACCAAGAAGCAATTTCAAATGACTTTAGATAGTTCACTGGTGGATATTGAGTCAGTCAGTGAAGTGGCCCTACCAGAAGACTATAAAGTGACATTTTGTGGCCATAAACAAAACACCCCTTTGACACAAGACACATCTTCATCCGGGGTACACAACGGTTTCCTTGGTAACATCCTCGGTGATAAGTCCCATACTCCTTTGCCGTTTAAGGGTCTGTCGTATTCTGTGTACGGGTGGTGTGTGCAAATTTGGAAACCTGATGCAACCGGCAAGGCTTGGCCCAGGTGTGTGTGGATTAAGTACCAGACGAGCCCAAAAGGCACTTCCCTGACATGGGCTACTGACCAAGATGGCAAGTAAGTAAGAAAATCATTCAAAATCAGTGTATCTAGCCTAACCCAGCGCTATTCACCTTATGAGTTTGTCTTTGTGCGCAGTTGGTATCCTAGGATTCACCGTCACTGGTCGCAGTTTTATTCGAGTACAATAGCAAATGGTGAGGGATCCCACGCCAATACATCTCCCTCCTTCAGAGACTTTTCCTGAGCGTGGAGCGCGATCGGCAAAAGGGAGCCGAGCGTGGAGCGCGATCAGGATGAACTAGAAACGAGCGCAGAACGTGAGCGGGGAGTGATGGGAAGGAGACTTCTTCTCTCCCTTCCATCTTCCCCAGTTCATTTTCTGTGGCGCGGACGACTGGGGACGAGGTTACTAGATGTTGATACATCTTGAGAATTAAGTGACATGTGATTGATTGATTCATTGATTGATTGATTGATTGATTGATTGATTGCTTGCTTGATTGATTGATTGATTGATTGATTGATTAGTTAATCAATTGATTGATTATTTCTCTTCTCTGTACCAGACCCTCTGTATTCTCGCCCGGTGCTTACATCAACAATCGATCTCTGATGCCCTGTCAGGAGCCTCCTGTTGCCATGTCAACCTGGCAGGCGTCTATTCACGTGCCTGAGGGCTGTGTTGTACTCATGAGTGGGAACGAATTTGTCGGCAAAACGACCGGAAGTGACGATCAAGGTAAGCTCTAATGTTTGCTTGGTAATTATCACCTGGTCGCGGAATCTAGACGATACTGGCTGCACTTTTCCTTTGAAAGAAGGTACACAGACAGGACTAGTTATTATGGGATTGCTGAACCAGGAAGTGGGCTGGACTCCGGACTGAGTGTTCCGAGTTTGAGCCCTGGCTGTGGACATTGTGTTGTGTTCTTGGGCAAGACACTTTACTTTCACAGTGCCTCTCTCAACCCAGGTGTATAAATGGGTACCGGTGAATTGTTGTGGCAACCTGACAGAATGCTGGGGCGTTACTTACGATGGACAAGCATCCCATCCAAAGGAGGGGGAGTGAAGCAATACTCCTAGCTACTTCAAGCCAAGAATTCGAAGTTAAGCCATTGGGCTTAAAAGGAAGTAAAAATTAACGATAAAAGCGAACGATAAACGCGACACGTTTCGAATGACACCATTTTCAAGTTAATATTCAAAAAGATAAGAAATAAACTGTCAGAAAGAGATTAACATAATAAATAATTAAGTAATATGCAATGTTACGCAAATAGTTTTGCCAGGATTGAGTCTGATTGGTCATTGAGAGATGATGACAAGTCTCTAATTGGTAACTTTTCATGTACTAAACAATCAAACTTATTGTGGCATGGCTTAAAAGGCTTTACTTTGTATAGCAACTGGAGTGGTGTGGGTTCAGAAGACTTTAAATATAGTAGCCAGCACGTTATTTTTTCTCTTTCAGTGACCTACCATTATGAGATGGACTGTCCACTGCCTTGTTCCACTCTGGCCGTGGCAGTAGGTTGGTGGCAATGCCGACAGTCCAGGAACGCTGAAACCAAAAATGGCAGCAGCCCTGACCTGCCTGTCACGTGTCGTTTGTTCGCCCCGCCCAGTTTGATTGATGCGGCGGCGAACGAGTTGCTAGGATACGCACCAAAGTTTTTGGAGGCGTCGTGTGAGCTGTTGGGCCCTTATCCCTTTAGACGCTTGGATATGTTGGTTTTGCCCAAGTGCTTCGCTTGTATGGGACTCAAAAGGTTGGTCTACAGATTGAAAAATTAATTCTCCATTTCGATAACTGTGCATTTGTTTGAATGGTGGTTATGAGAATTTGGTAGTAAATTCGTAAAGATCGCGTACTTCACGTTCGCGTTTTGTGGATTAACGAGCTTAGAATGTCAGTTATCTTTCTGTGCTGGCGTTAGCCGTTGCTCTGGTGTTGAACGTTTTGTTTCTGCTTTTGTTTTGGTGGAAATTTAGTCCCAACCTGGTGTTTCTGTCCCAGTCCCTTCTCTCCGGTGACGCCAGTATGCGGGTGCGCCTGGCACATGAGATCTCACACGCTTGGTTCGGTTTGCTGGTTGGCGCGAAGGACTGGAGCGAAGAATGGCTGTCTGAAGGCTTTGCGACATTCATAGAGGAGAAGATTCAATCCAAGGCTGAGCGGGTTTGTGGACATTTTACTTTTGTTACAAATGAATAGAGAATAATAACTCGTGTGTTTTTGGAAGGAATGAAGAACGCACATGGAAGAGGGACGTCAAAGAAAGTTAAAGTGCTCAAATGCAAAAAGAAAGGAACTCTGGCGAGAAATAAAATTGAACCAACAGAAATTGCGAATTGTCATTTTGCTACGCCCCAGAACTTGCATGTATATTTTGAGTTATTTTACCCACGTACAAAACCTTTCAATTGGACGAAACCTTCAAATAATAGTTTTCTAAGAAAGAAAAACACCAAAGAGATAACAATAATCTTTAAAGGACCAAGGATGGTTAAGGATGGAGAAGATTGACACGGATTACAAACGACGAACTTGAAAAACTTAGGCTAAACTTAATACGCTCCGAGCGCCCGGTGTACTTGTCTAATTTGACTGCTTGCTGATACTGTGTCTCTTTTCAGTGGTCCAAGGATAAAGACAGGTTTTTTCGGGAAATCAGGCAAATTCTCAGACACAGATGTTTGTTGTCTGAGATTAGAGAGTGCGATGACAATCTAAAATGCTTGAGGTAAGGAGAGATGCGTCATCAAAATACCTGTATGAACCTTTCGGTTCCGAGATTGGAATGCAAATTCTCGTTAATAATAATCGCACATTTCTTTAAATGTTCAGTGCTGAGAATTTGATGGAAAATCAACGCAAAATTGCCCAATTTACAAGCTTAGTTATTCTTCCAAATTGTTACGATTAAAGCGTACGGACATACCTGGCTGTAAAGAAAATATGTAGCTACCTAAAGAGGGGGGTAGGGGTTGTGCGTAGCGGGGGAGGGTGTGCGTAAACTTGTAAAAGGGTTTCTTTATCCTTATCTATGATTTAAATGATGATGTGGCTAGCAACGAAGTAAAATGGATCGCTCGAATGATTGATCGATCAATTGATTTATTAACTGGTTTTTAGGTTGCTGCAGTCACTGAAAGAAATCTTATGTGCGAATTCTGTTAAACAACACGATCAAGTTTAAGAGATCTTTGCAATCGTCAATTGACTCTAGCAGTTGTAAACAAAGCGCAGAGAAAATTGAACAGCTTAACGGGTTTCGTACCAGTGAGTCCTACGATACCAGAACAATAATATGCTTAAGCACCAAGCTGCAAGCAAACATTGTAATATTTTTTTGTTCTTTTCAATACAGGCCCAAATCAGTTAAACCCGCATCAGGTCAGAATCTTTTTTTCCTTATTAAAACGTGTTTTTTGTGTGTGTTTGTGATTCGTTTCCTCGTATCAAAGTTATATTTGTACTCTACTGATCAAACTTTGTTTTCTTCATCTTGCGCAGCTCTTTCCACAGCTGAAGCGGTTAAGAGGAACTCTGGTCAAGCAGAAACCATGAAACCTCACACGGTGGTACAGTTTGGTCAAATCTGCTCTAGAAAATGGTCACAAATTCACTACCTCAAGGTTTGCCTCTCCTGAAAAATGTACAGTTTTACTCTTGGAAGCAAGTGTCAGCGCGGCCAAGTGGTCAGGGCGTCGGACTCGCAATCCAGTGGATTCCGGATTCGAGGTCCGCTCCGACCACTACCTGGATTTGTTTCTCGGTAGTCCCGAGTTCAAATCCTCGGCCACGCTTGTAAATAGCCAACTGATTTACCTCCGGCCAATTGGGATACTTAACCATGTTATGTTCAATTTGAATTATTTGCTTCAGTTGTTTGCTCGGCCCCACTAGCCTTTGTGCTATACATACTGCCAAGAGTAGATAAAGGTTATTAGTTTGTAGTCTGTAGTCAGAATTCCTCGGTTCCCGTCGCCTTCTTTGTTTATTGCTTCCACAATCAGTTCAGGCGTTTAGAATAAAAATGGCGGGCGGCTTTAGGAGATTTTGATCATTCGTGTTTTCTATCCGTTGAGCGAATCGTTTCAAATGTCCTTCATTCAGAAAAACCGAAAATTTAGTTTGATCTCAAGGTTGGGCTCCTAGTTCCGTTTCATGAAAATTACATACGGGACCACACGGACTGATCTGGCGTTATTGCTTTGCCTCATGAAACGTGCTGTGGTGACGAGTTTACTTCTTACGACGACTGTACGGCATAAATTGTTTCCTGTAAACCAAACCTACAACTTGCTTGTGAAGTTTTAGCCGGGTTTGATTTTTTTAATTTATTCTCGTTAAAAGACGTAAGCTTGTCAGATCGCGTGAAGTTAAGTTGCACCTTACAAATATGACAAATTCAGCAATGGGTTTTGTCTGAGGGAACTCGAAAATTTTATTTGAAGGGCAAGGCCAAGCCTCAATTTCTGCCGCTTTCTCGAGCCCAGTCTTCGTTTCTCTCCGAATAGGGAAGGATTGCCGAACAACGGCTGGTAAGAACCCAGCCAATGCAGTGAATGCCCAGTGCAGTCTCGGTTGCACTGGATCTTAGAAATAACCCCGCCAGAATATTTTCCTTAGCCTGGTATCTTTTTTTTTTTCAGGGGTACTTTCTCCTTCACCGTTTGGCCAGCATGGTGGGTCTTGACGAATTTGATGAGTTTCTTTTTAACTATGTCCAGCATTTCAAAGGACAACTTGTTGCATCGGAGGTGAGTCGTTTCTGTCGATTTATACCGTATGGATTCAAGTTAGCCCCTGAAAAGCTAATTAATTTTTTGAACCCGGGTGACTGTAAACGTGAACCTTGACACTGAACAAGTGTCAGTGTAATATTGCACAGTTTGCTATCTATCAATGATTTAATCATTACTGTAATCCGTCTGAAAGTTTCAAGTCTAACTTGTTGCTGGGTATCTTGTGTTTTCTAGGACTTCTTTGAATTCTTTATGGAAAGTTTCTCCAACGTGCCAAGGTAAGGGAAATTGGAACCTTCTGTCGCGTGATATGCACATGTCACGTGATTTTCACATACCACGTGATATGCATTATCACGTGGTGGGCATATGCCACATCAAACTGAAACAGTCGGTCAGGCTATACAGGGAGCCGGCGCTGAACAGAAGCTCGTTGGTTGTTTTGATTTCGAACCCTCCTTTCTTGCCGACAGCTGTTGTAATTCATCTTTTTTATTTCCACAGGGAAACAACAGACAATTTTTTTCGTGAATGGCTGGAAAGAGCTGGAATGCCAAAAGTAAGCGGGTAGTGTTTGATTTTACATCCTTTAAAGACGTTTGTTTGTTTGTTTGTTTGTTTCCGGTATATTCGATAACTATTAATTCATTCATACCTCTTTTTATTTGTGCCCAGTCCTTCCCGAAGAAGTTTGAAAGTCCCGACAATGAACTTGTCTCGCAAGTGGAAAACGAGGTAGGTGGTAACTGCTGACCAGCGATGCACGCTAATTCGTTAATCTGGTCAACTCTAACTTGTGAGAAGTAAGCATCATTTTGATTGAAACTTTTTTTTCTGTTGAAACGGTTTGTTGAAACGAATTCTGTGTCGATGCTTAATCTGGAATTATAAATCAAGGGGGTCGCGCAGAATTCAGCGACACATGCGGGACGCTGGCACTAAATTTGAAAGCTAATGAGAAAACGGAGCAGAGCCGCAAACTGTAGAAAGAAAATAAAATATGTTTTCTTGCGTTTTGTTGGCGCTTGCTGTACAAGTGTGAACTAAAATTAACATTTCATTGAATGTTTTGGTGAAATTATAACGTGGTCAGGGTTTGCTGTAAATAGCATAAAAGCGCTTAATAACTTGAGCTGGCGAGCGTTGACAAGTAAAACCGGCGAAATACACGCATCTGTGGAGTTCCCCGGTGACAGTGTTTAGTATGTTCTTATGTGTTATATCTTCGCGCGAACAATACTGATACTTTGACATGCAACGAGTGCGGAGCGCGGGAAAACACGCGTCAGTCAAGTCATGGTTGGTGGCTGCTGATTGGCTGAAAAATCAGCATGTTTGCTCGGATTGGCTGGGGCATGTTACACGTGGTTTTTGAATCAATTATATATAGTTTTGTAAGCACCAAAAAAAGAAACAGTGCAAAGACGTGATTTGCACTTAAGCGCTCGGTCACTGAATAGACCATTTTGCTAATGCAAATATTTGCTAGTTGCATTCCCTTGTGGAAGCAAGAAGTGATCACTCGGCCAAAAATGGCCTCATTAATTCATTAAATAGATCAAATTTTGCCCCCACAAGGGACTGGAGCAAAATGGTGTATTACTGTTTTCATGTTTGAGTCATTTAAGTAGGTTTGTATGTAAATAAGCGTTCAAATTGTTACAGTTTCAAACGTGGAAGAAACAGGACTCTGTTAACAAACGGAACAAGACACTCAAAGTTAGAAAGAGGAAGAAACCTCCAAACAGTACATTGGTGAGTGGTTAAAAATTATTTTGCCTCAAACAGTCTTAAATTATTTTGTCCTTAATTCAAGAAGAAGAAAAAGAGAAAGTTTAATGGTTGCAAACAACTACTTGATACTTTAAGTGTTATAAGATCGTCGGCACTTTTCAGACTGACACGATTCGACCCGAAAAATGCCGACGACGTTATTCGGTAGCATTCCGTTGACACGCATGTCCAGTGCGGTTCTGTGCGCACTGAATTGATCAAACGCCTAGTTCTTAGGCCTCGATATTTCGCCGCGGTCAATCGGTCTTGGTTCGCGTTGTGTGTCGTGGAAAACTAAGTAAAATAATCTCTATAAATAAATTGCGGGGTTTTTTTTAATTAAATTATAGGATGTCGCTGAACAAGTTGTTTTGTTGCTGGAAAAGCTTTTGGAGCGAGAGACGATATCCCACAGCACATTGCGTCAATTAGAGAAGTGCTACAACTTATCAAATGGAAATGCAGAGGTTGGTATATTTTCCCCGCCTGTTTTGATATTTGATATATTTTGATATTTTGAGATTGATCTGTTTCTGTGTTTTGCCGTTTGTATCAACTGTTGTAAAGATTTCTAATTGAGAGAATCTATTTGTAACTTTGTAAAGATGCCCTGAAATAGCCGCAAATATAACGCCGCACATCCCGGTATAACGTGACATGACATGACTATATATTGCGTGATAAAGCTCCTTATATTGCGTGACATAGCGATTCTCACAAACGAAACACATTGCCTACTAGAAGGTTACTGAAGGTGAATTTTATTTTGCAGATTCGACATCGCTGGTGTGAACTGGTTGTAAAACACAAGTAAGTACCATTCCATCACTTAATACTCCTGTGTTGTTTCACGGAGAGATTGAAAATGTAACGTTTTCTTTGCTTCAAATATAGTTACACTCCAGCGCTCCAAGAAGTCCACAGATTTTTGGTGGAGGATCAGGTATGAATTCTCCTTACTTATTGCTTTACATTTCTCTCCACTATAGTTCAGAGAATTTGGTGACACGTCAAATTACTGATTTTCTTCACTCTTGTACGTTTGTTCTCTTAACAGTTAATAGCAAAATAAGACGTTGATTGCTCCAAGCTAATGCGTTTTCTACTTATGATTTCTTTGCCTTTTCCAGGCGTTTATTTCGTTGGGGCGCAGCGCAAAAAACGGCGAGCGGAAACATTTCTCGCGCTACGCCCCAACTGACTAAACGTCTGAAAGAGGCTAATGATTTCTAGATACCATACGTGTTCATAAGATGAAAAAAAAAGTAAATCAATAAATGAAAATTAACAAAGCCGGCACATAACAGTCTTGACGAACCTGCGGCCTGTGGCCGATTAGAAACGTTAGTTTTGTGAAGGGAAGAATACCAGAGAACTGCGAGGAAAACCCTGGCAGCAAGAACGAGAGCAACCAACAACAACAAACT